TTCTTGAATATATATATGTGTATATGTATATATATATATATGTGTGTGTATATATATATATAGAGTTTTCCTACAGGATAGTAGTAAGAACACATGGAAATAGATGGTTTACCTACACCATGGTTTTGGACCCTCTGTAGTATAATAGTGGGTGGACTTTGGGGGAGAGTTGCTGTTTGGTTTTTGTAATTCTTAAAAATTATAATTGCATCATTTACCCCTTCTCTTTTCTCCCTCTAACCCTTATACTTCTCCCCCTACTCTCAAATTCATGATCTCTCCAGTTATTGATATATATAATATATTATATATAACTAAATATATTTATATATGAATATATAAGAAATATAGGTATATATATATATACGCACATGTATATTCCTTAATACACAAATACAACATTCTCAGTCTATAATGTTTCCTATATGCATATAAACTCTGGGCTGGCCACTCGGTATTAGATAAGCAGTTTGGGGGCTTTTCTCTGGGGAAGACCATTTCTCCTTTCCCTTGGAAGACTGCATGGCTCTTTCTGGTACCATGAAAGCTAGTCCTTGGGAGGTGGTGGCTTTCAGGTCAATTCCAGCTCAGGTCTGCCTAGTCTTGTATCTGCAGTGCATGATATCTTGAGCAATAAGGACTTAATCTCCCATCTCTGGGGGCAACCAAGGGCAATAGCCCATAATATTTTGAGACTCTCTTGGGCAACACTGACCAACAGCTCAAAGTGGAGATTCATGCTTGGGATTTTTGTTAGATTGTTAGATAATCTATGGCCCTTAGAGGAAGCATTGTCAGCCTACATGGGAAGATTTCCTTTAAACTGTTGTATATGCATGCGTACACACACACACACACACAATCTCCATACCTAAAATTACATATAATACATATGCAATTTTAGGCAGGGAAATAACAGTATGCTTCCTTATAACTTTTTCATACATTCTCACTGTATTTATCTCCCCATTTTTCTCCCTTTCCTCTTCAAGTCACCTGTACCCTGCTATTCCCCTCTTTTGCTCTCCTCCTACCCGTGCTTCCTTTTTTTCTTTCCTGTTTTTTTCTACTCCAGGTTTTATACTCACATTGTTTTAATTGAGAAGCAATGAGCTGAATATAAAAGGAGCCATTTAAGTTGTATTTAGCACATTCACTGTCTAGATTTAGAGCATTTGTGTCGCTCTGAGAGGACATGTTCCAGTCACACCTGCTATCTTCCTGAGAGTCCCCGCTAGTTACAGTAGCACTGGTCTCTCCCTTTTCAGTTTCTACATTGTTGTTGTTATTGTTGTTGTGTTGGTGGTGGTGGTGGTGGTGTGTGTGTGTACTGTTAATACTTTGTGCATATTTCAGAGACCCTGCTTTACCTTAAGTCATGTGGGCAAGTTGGGGGGCGGCGTTTGCAAAGCTAGACTGCAAAGTTGGAGTATCATTAAACCACCCTTGAACGCGCTGTAAATTGCCGACTGGTTGTGTGCGCTAAGTATGATGTTGGGTGAATGACCCTGTTCAGTAATTTGTAGGAGCTTCAAGCGGAAAACCCACAGAGGATAAATCTAAGGGGCGGGTGGCACAGGGAGACCAGCCTGCATTCAGAACAGAGGAGAAACAGCACACAGGTTGTTATTGGAGGGAGACTGGAGAGATTTATGGCAGCAGGTGGCACAGAGCTGGCACAAGTTAGGTGCCAAGTGTTTACTGGATTTGACGCTGAAGTTTGCCTAATAGGCTCTGAATATGCAATGCCTTTCTAAAGCCACAGTAGACTGTAGCTGCCCGGTCCTTCATTCTCAGCCAGCTTTACTTTCCCTGCCCGCCCTTGTCACTTCTTCTGCATTGACCAAGTAACTATTACCTCCCTTAGGAATTATCCCATCACTCCTTCAGCTGTTTTTAATGGGCACCACCTGCCCTACTAGATAGGTTCCTGAAGCTTGGCCAGTTGATTTTCATGTCAGTAATTAATTATATAGTGCTCAGGGCAATATGTTTTAGATAAAACTGGGCTTCCCTGTAAGATACATTCCATTTCTTAATCACTGGGAACATCCACTGGCTCCTACAGATTCAAAGTAATATATCTGGAAGTTCTTGCAATAATGATATGAAACTCACTTGAAGGAAATGACTGTGAACCCAGAAAGGAAGCCAATCAGAGACAGACTCAGTATGGCAGGTCAAAGGTAGAGGGATAGTGGTCAATGAAAAGTGTCGGAACCAGCACCCTGTCCACATCTACATGTGGGGAATGGACAGTCTGGTCCATGGAAGCAGCAAGTACAGAACAGAATTGACACTCCCTCCTGTCAAAGCCATATGTTGCATACTTTAGGCATTGGGCCATAGGATTCATGACAGCTCAACTATTGAAGTGTGAATTAGTCAGAGATATGTTAATGAGTAAGCATGTCTGTGTTCTGAAATAACAGGAGTTGTGGACACCAAAATTAACCTTTTGTAAAATGTCTCATGTTCTTTTGATCCTCTCAGTTTAGAGTTTACAGGCAATTTTTAACTCACGGGTTGTACATAAGCAGGCACAGTGCCAGATGTGGCCATTGCTGTACTTTGCTGATGCTTTTGTATGAGCAAGGGTGTTTTAGCGCATGCTGTCAGGACAGACGTTAGTACACGGCCACGCAGGTTTTGATTGGATCTGAGAAGAGGCTGAACTTCTGCATTTCTAGCATGGTTCTGGCTCACAGAGATGCTGAAGCCCTCACACGAAGGAGAAAGGAGCCAAACAGAGAAACACAAGGGTCCCACAATGCTAGGAAATGCACAGGTGATTTTCTGACCACTGGGTACTTCTGCTCTGTTCAGCAAGGAGAAAGCTACATGGGTAGAAAGATAAACTCACCCAGAAGAAGAACTGAACAGAGGGAGCCACACAGTGAGTTCTCTGCACGTGGGCAGCAGGCTGAAGGCCACAGGAGTCACGGACCGAGCTGAGACCAGACGCAGTGGCTTCTCACCTCCGCTCGGCTTCTACAAGGCTGCCCCCACTCCTCTCAGTTATTTCTTGCTCTACTGTGTGCGACAGTTGGGGGCCTTGCCCTCCTTGCCCTTAGATAAGGTTGGTTGTGAGCAGAAGTTTTGGGTGCACTGCCTGGCGGGAATGTGGTGACAGAGAGAACTGGGTGGGCTTAAAGGACAGAGGAGAAGCTAAGTGAAATGCTAGAGGGGAGGAGGAATATTGACAGAGGTACTATGTGTGTTCTTTTGTACTATACCGTACTGTGCTATATACAGTCTGCTGTACTGTCAATACATGGGAAGGTGGGCCTCGAGGCAGAGAAAATACGATTCTATGCATCTGTTTCTTTGTTAAGTTAAAAATGACGGGAGTCAGCTTTGGGCTGGGATGTCCAGGATGGACTGACCTTTGCTTTCTTTTGGGTCATATTCTGATCCTGTCGCCATAGCACTTTCCTCAGTGGTGAATTAGAGACAAACGAAGCAGCCGTCAGCATCTTGGTTTTTATAAAAGGACAGCGTATGCTAGGAGCAAAATATGGGCTTAAAAAATATAAAGGAGAACCCAAAGAAAACCAACTGGTTACAGCACACAGCAGCTGCCTGGCTGAGAGCTGATGCGTGAGTTATGCTGAGTCAGACACACACCTTTAGTCAAAAGGCCCTTTAGGTTTGTTAAGAATATTGTGTGACGTGACAGCGTAGTGTAAATAAACATGTACATACAGATGGCTCCTAAAACACACCCTGTAGCAATCCCCTTCCCCAGCAACAACACAGCAGTTTGTCAGGCGTCCGTGTAGAGTACAAGAGGAGCCATGGAAGTGGTTCTAGATGCTGCCATTCTGTGTGCCAAATGCTCAGTCCCCCCTCAGGAACCGTCATGTCACCTCAGGTCCTGACTGACTTGGTCTGAGGTTAACCTAGACTTGATGGTTGCAAGGCTCTCTGCGTTATGCAGCATGTCACCAGGTCAATAATCCTTGAAGGTCACTCCTGTGTCAACACTTGCAAAGAATGGCTATATTCTCCCCTGCCAGGACTAGACCAGGCTGAATGACTTATTGACAGGGCTGGAGAGACTGAGAATGTTGTACTGTTTGTGGCTTTAAAAATATACAAGGACCTGTGAGTGGATGATTATTCAAGGTTCTCTTGTTAGTTGACTTGTGTGGCTGTAACAAGAAGCCTGACAGAAGCAACTTGAGTAAGGAAAGATTCATCTTGGCTTACAGTTTTAAGAGAGCTCGGTCATCATAACAGAGGTGGCATGGCAGAGAAGTTGAGACCACAGCTGCAGGATTGTGTGGTAGAGGCTGTTTATATCATGGTGAGCTGCAGAGCAAGAAGACAGTGGTTGGATAAGGGCAGGGGATGGAGGCAGGTATGACCATAACAATCCTAACCCTAGCCCTAACCCTAACCCTAACCCTAACCCCTAACTAATTCACTAGTATCACACTTTCAAGGTAGGCCTAACTTCCTAAAGGATCCATGGCTTAGCATCACCAGGGCCCCAAATCATTTAGAACATGAGTAGATATTTTGGATTCATACCATTAACAGTGCTTTAACGAAGTGATTCGTTGGCCTCTTCCACTGAACATAGACTACCAGAGTGGTGTAAACCGTGCTGGGAAGTCTTGCTCTGCTTCCCTGAATTTGACCAGTATTATTTTGTTAATTATAGCATGTCGCCCCATCCTTTTGTTTTATGTCTTTTAAAAGGGTGGTGGGGAACCTTCATAGTTAGAATGAAGCCTGTGCTCAGCTGACTTCCCAGTGGGGTATTCATGTCACTGTTACATTCTCTTAAGATTGAGAGGGTGCTGGTGTAAATTAATCCCAAGAAATATTTATTATTTATAATACTGAATCATCTTGTGTCTTTAAAGTGGAGCCTGGCATGTGGATATTGCTGGGAAATAATCTCCCGACAAACGATTCATAGATGCTGACATGGGCTTAAAGGGTTGGATGCTTTGCTTTGTGTCTAAGTCTCTTTCCTTCTCATCTTTCAGTACACAAGGGTCTGGATCCCTGACCCAGATGAAGTATGGCGTTCGGCTGAGCTAACCAAGGACTACAAAGAGGGGGATAAGAGCCTGCAGCTCAGACTGGAAGATGACACAGTAAGTGCTGGTCCTTAGGGTGAGGACCCGAGATGTTATGGCCTTAAATGTGTCTGCCCATTGGAGCTTCTGAACTCCAAATTCTTCTTTTGCTACTGTTGATGACAGTGCCTGTGAAAAGTGCCAAACCATGAGTCTGCTTCATGAATGTCACCTAAGAAATAAGTGCCCACTCGGGTTAGCAACTAGGAGGTCCACTGGTAGCAGAGACAAGCATCTTTATGTTGGAGTGAAGGGAACAGGCCTGCTGTGTTGTGGCATCAGCAGAAGGGAACAGGTGGTGGGAGCCTGGGCTCAGGGTACCTTGGGCCAACAGTGGGCTGATGTTCATGTAGGAACTACGTGTGTCCAGTGCCCAAGACTCCAGTGTTATATGTGGATAAGGGAAGGAAGGTAAGCCAGTGAACCTGGAACTCAGGTGACTTAAGGCTGAGGGGACAGGCAGCCATTTTATACAGGGTATATACAGGGAGGCTGGTTTTAAACACAGTGGTAGGATGATCATGAAGAATTGGTGTTGAGACAGTTAGCTGTGCTGCGGGGCAGTCATAGAGTGGGCAGAAGGCTTGTGCTGAACTCCAGGGCCTGGAATGTCTGTATTGTGTCCGTTGGCTGTGAATTATTAACTGCCTTGCTGTTGTTCATTCTTCAAAGCATTTTGTTCTGTTTCCCACTCCAAATGGTTGGTTGAGCAACCTGTTGATTGAACATTCTCTAACCACCAACCGGTTCTCTATGAATTCGAGTATGTCCCTTTGAGCATGACATGGGGGCAGGTGAATTTGAGTTGGTGTCAGCGTGTCCTTCACCCTCTAGCTGACAGGCTTTGTTAGTCATCTCTTGGTTTGGAAGGAAGGAGCAAAACTGTCAGCAGATGGAATCCTGTTTGCCATGTTGAGTAACTTCCCACCCCACATGCGAAACAAAATGAAATTAGTCCACCCACTTGAACGGAGTGCCTTCCACTCCGACAGATTTCATTTCAGCTGGTCCTTTCACGTGGGTGGGTGTTTTACAAAGCTGTACTGAGGCAGGGAGGGATTATCTATCATGTTGCTAAAACAGCAGACACTTGTGTCCCTGGCTGTACACAGCTTTGGCCCTGCATGATAAATCCCAGCAGCTGCCCACGGCCCAGATCTTCCTCTCTGACTGTGAGACCAGTCACTGTGGAACTGGAGATCAGCATCAGCTCTGAGCATATGAGTCTTCCTCTGTTGCCTATGGGTTATGGCTGGCATGAAGCTGGTCCTGAAAGTGACTGGCAGTGTGCACTGGCAGCAGGGACCCAAGCACCGCATGGTTGGAGGCTCAGTGCTTAAAGAGCAATTCCCCTGAGGCTGATGCCATCCTGTGCTGCCACACTGACCTCCCAGCCCCCAAAGTAAAATGGTTTTAGTGCAGAAGCAAAGGGCAAAGAAGGTAGGCCAGATTTGCTACTAGAAAAGCTGCATTCCAACCCCAGGATCATGACGGGACCTTTACTGCCAATGATCTCCTCTGATAAGGTACTCAGGCTTCTCACCATTCATCTAAGATGCCCCTCCCACTTTTGCTCAGTTATGTCTTCTAGTAAGCTGTGGGAAATAAATGTAACCGTGTGGTCCGTCTTTAAGTGGGCAATTCAGCGGCATTTGCCCTACTCTAATGGTTACCATGCTCTTCTTCCATGTGGCCAAACTGGGACCACCCCCACTGCACACCTTTTCTGTGCACCGTCTGTCTTTGACTGTGGCTGCACGAGGTACTTCGTACAAGTACCAGCATGTGGTATGGGTGCTTTTCCCTCTGGCTTAGGTCATTTCGCATAATGTAAGATGTTCTGTTTGGCAGCCAGAGAGGAGATGGTGACTTCTCTGAAGAAAGGGATAATGTCATCGGTCTTTTCTCCTCTCTAGAGTCAAGATGGTTATAACATGCTTGTGTGCTAATACTTGGCCTGGTTCTCTGCTTTTAGATGGTGCTGGGCATTTCATGGATGCTAACCTTGGGTTGATGAGTGAGGCCTCTCTGTACATTGACCAGAGCAGAGCTCAGTGCAGGTCAAGGGCTCTCTCCAGTTCCCCTCCTCCCTTGCAAACTGCTCCACTCCTGCCCTCTACTGGCTGAAAACTTCCTACTTCTGTAGTTTCATTGGGCTGTGTTTCAACTAAGTTTGTATGAAGAGCCTAGAGGCCTTCCTGTGTTCCTGTTTGAGTGGGAGGCTGCAGTAGAGACAGGAGACTGGCAGAGAGTGACATGCTCTCTCTGCACTGTGATTTGTCTAAGCTGAACCAAGTGGGCTGGGGCGAAAAGATGTTATATTGTTATCCAGATGTGGCAAAAGGATGTGATCCCATTATCCAGATGTTCAGCTTTAAATCTACCTAGCACTTTTATTATTTTGAATATTTAAATAACTATCCAAAGAAGAAAATTGATTGCAGGCCTGTCCAACCTCCACCCCACTGCCAGGGCAAGGAAGCGGCGTCTTTGCTTTAAACATGTGGCCTCATCACTGCAGGAGCACCCCGAAGAGCAGTTGGTTCCCTATGGCAAGTCATCCTTCATATGTCATGTTATAGGGGGTTGCTAACACTTGGTGAAACCCCCTGAAGCCAGAATTAGTTGAGAATGTTAGTAGCAGTGTTAAATTCAAGTTCCTATTGTCAATGGCAAAGAGAAATTGATTCTTAAGTATCCCTTCCCTGCTCCCCCAGACACCTGCAAGCTGAGGAATGCATGTCCTGGAGTGCTGACTTTGCAATTCTGACCTCTTGAGCTGTGCAAGGCATTTCAGTCCTTATCAATTTTCTGTAACCACTAGCTTCTCTGTGGATACATTCTTCCAAAATTTCATATGTGATTGTCTCTTCCTGGCTGGCAAGGTCTTCTGAGAGAAGAATCACCTTGGAAATGATGAAAAGCCCATGTTTCTGCCCTGGGATGGGAGGACTTTGGGCTGAGTTTAAAGCTTTTCAGTTTGATAATCGAAGGACAGGGTGGGATGAGCGCTCCAGTGGGGAGGGGGGGGACGAGGGGGGGGAGTTCTGGCACTGTCACATGATCCCACTAACTCAGCAGATGACCAAAGCCAGTATACCGTGAGCTATACTACGTCCAAGGCCTTCCTGCCCCTGTTAGGAAGTGGTGTCAACTTTAGGAAGGCTTATTACAAGGGATGCTGGGGACATGCCCTTGAAGAGGCGTTGGCATCCTGACCCCCTTCTCCTTCATCTCTCCATCCTGTCTGCATTGGGCTGAGCAATCCCGCCCCGGCATTCATCCTCCGACATAAGGATCTGCATTGTTGTAGGCCAAAAAGGAGTGGTCATGCCGGAAACCTCCCAAAATCCTAAATCCAAGCAAATCGTTTCTCTTCAGAAACTGAAGATCTTGGGCATTTTATTCAGAAAACTTACAGTTATCAACTCTTGTTTAAATGTTCAAATATCGCACTTTTAAACTGTTTTTAGTAAATTACATATACATCCATGTGCTCTGTCAAATATTTTTTGAGCTCTCAGTTCAAATCCTGAGCCAAACAAGACAACCAAACTGTCATCCTGCACCTGAGATGTGACCTTTGGATAAACAGTCCAACACCCAAATTACACAGACCCAGCTCAGATTCCTACTGAACTTGTGGATAGGCTGTGGAGCAAGCGGTGCACGTCTTGAAGCTGGTTACACAGGCAGGGCATCAATGGCAGGATACTCCAAACAAGAGAGTGAGCATATGGGTAGCCAGACAGAGTCAGTAAGGAAACACTAGAGGGGACGTGGACACAGAGTCCACCCCTAACCAAGAAGCTACTTATAACTGATACCCACTGCTTGCTTCAGTGGAATGTCACTGGGCACGTCAACCACATCCCATGCCTATTGGTAGTTGGCCAATGCAAAACACACTCAGTGGATTTTTCTTTTAATGGGCTTTTGTTTTCTTTGGGCATTTTTTTTTATCTTAAAGGGTTTTTTTGTTGTTGTTGTTAATTTGAGTGTTGTTTTATTTTTATTTTTTGGTTTTTAGCTTTTTGGAGCCTGTTCTGGAACTAGCTCTTGTAGACCAGGCTGGCATTGAACTCACAGAGATCCAAATGCCTCTGCCTTCCCGAGTGCTGGGATTAAAGGTGTGTGCCACCACCCCGGCTTGTTTGTTTTTTAGAGAATTAGAGCACGTGTGTTTTAAGTTGGCTAGGTGGGGAGGTGAGCAGGTTCTGGGGGGAGTTAGAAGGGCAAAAACATGATCAAAATATATGGAAGAAATTTAATTAAAAGAAAACAGACAGAACTAATAAAGAAGCAGCTGCAGGAAATGAGGCCAGCCTAGGAGGTCTGCTAGCTGGGAAGTGCCCTCCCATGTTAAACAGAATGGACAGTCCAGTGTTATCTTCACCAAGAAGCTGACTACCCTTAAATCTGGTTGTTCCTCCTCAGTTCCTGTGTCAGTCTTTTGTATTTGATGTGCTGGGATTATGTAACCAAAGTTCCATGTGGCCTGGTGTCTTGTGGGAATCATAGGTATTGCGTACATCTTGTCTTCTTTAGAATATTACTTATCTTTCTGTCATCATTTTGCTAGGATAGTGATCCTAGCCATAGAGGTGGGACACCAAATATAGGCTAAATGCTTTGCTCTTTTGTTTCTACTGCTTGCTTGTCACTAGATTCTGGAATACCCAATTGATGTCCAGAAAAACCAGGTGCCATTCTTACGGAATCCAGATATCTTAGTCGGAGAAAATGACCTGACTGCCCTCAGTCATCTCCATGAGCCTGCCGTTCTGCATAACTTAAAGGTCCGTTTCCTGGAGTCCAACCACATCTACACTTATTGTGGTAAGTGGGGGCACCTGCTGAGGGTGGGTGTGTCATCTTTAGCCAGCTCTTAGAAAGCTCAAACATTAAGAACCTTGGCAGCTCTCAGGCATATGACCATTTCATATGAGACCCATGGAGGTTTATGGTTAGTGGGTTGGTGTTAATAACAGCTCCTCCAGAGAAGTGGCCATAGCTGCTGGGGAAGTTGGTTTAGTTCTTGCTTGTGGTTGGTAGAAGAGCAAATCCACTGTGATAATCTGGCTCTGAAACATGCCCTCCTCACTGAAGCATGTGTACCGCAGGGATTTTGTTGACCCCAGCTTGAACTGGCCGTCTTCCTCACGGATGTTCTCACTGCCCTGGTAAAAACGTGGTGCCTAAAGATTTTGTTCAAGTAATATGCAAAATCAATAACAAATGCTTAATCAGAAAGTCCTAAAATCAATGTCCTTGCAATTTCTGTGTGCATAGCCCAAAGTTTGATATATTCTCTCTCTCTCCCTCCTTCCTTCACCGTGTCTCTGCCTTTGACTGTTATTTAGAGTGTGTCGAGAACAGAACATTCTAGCAGTGTCTGGTAGAACCAGACTATGGGTGGGATGTCTGAGGTATTGTCCTGACGATCTTGCCCTCATTGTGGCTGCAGTGACAGCTCAGGTGCCCAGGATCTTTTCTAGTTTTCTATTCCACTTGACCCTGGGGGGTTGGCTACTTAGCCTGGATGAGCTGCTTTGTAGGTTTTGGTGCCGAGAAGGGATTGTTTTAAGAAATTCCTTTACTCCCAACTCGTAGTAAATGTTAATTTAGAAAAAATATCAATTATCAGAAACTCAGGGCGGGGCGGGGGGATCTTTCAAACATGAAGCTGTTGCAAAGCTTCACTTTCCAGGAAGAAAGGCTGCATGGCCATCAGTTTTCCAGTCTCAGGGAATACCCCTGGGGTTGCCTTGGTGTCTGTACAGAACAGAGCTTCTTCAGCTGATCCAGTGTCCCATCAGCTCTCAACAGAACCCAGTGACACCCAGATTACACTGCAGTAATTGTGGAAGTGTTCCTCTCTGCTCTGGGGGGCCTACAGTGTTTTGGGAAAATAGGTGACCTCAGGACATGAGATTAAATTTTTATCTGAGCATCATCTGAGTTAAATTGAACCCTCTGAGAAACAGAAGAGCGCGTATGGCTACTCCTAAGAGTGTTCTCCAAGTGATTAGCCTCGGTGGGGCTTCTCAGGACTCCAATCCTTCTGTGCTGTTTTTGTTTGCTTATTTTCCAGTCCTATTGAGAGGGGACATGCATGTGTCTCTCTTCCCACTTGACCACTAGGAGGGAGCACACCACAGGGGACTTCTCATCATGGCAGTTCCCTCTGCCTCTTTCCAGGATGGCTGGAAATCATTTACCTTTGTTCCTTAGTCCATGGGAGGCAATCTCATGGGAAAGAACAAAAGACATATCACTATCATGTCTTGAAGATGTGATTTTCTTTTTTTCCTTTGTACATTCTCAGTGATCAACTTGTCTCACCTATCCACACAAGAGGTTTAAAACCTTAGCAGGATTTCCTCCTCACTCAGTCAGCATGATTCAGTCCACTGCAGTACAGACCTTGGGAGACTCAGAGGCCAGGATGTGAGTGGGATCTAATAGAGAGGAAACACAGAGGCTCCCATGTAGTACCCTGCTCTGGGCTTCCTTCTCTCCAACAGCTGTTTGAGAATATTCCAAGTCCATGTGTATGTTGATTAGACTTTAAGAGAGATAAATTATGTTGTCCTCAAATTTATATTTTTGTTTAAATAGCTCATATATAAATGAGGAAAAATATCTTTTCCAGATTTTAATTCTTGGGTGTTTAAGTTAAACATCCTTTTCTCTCTGGTCCTACAATACTTGTGTCTACTGTATGAAGTCAGCTGTTGAGTACTTGTGAGCGGTAGTGTGTCTGTGACATTCCTGTGGGACAGCCTGAGACCTGGACCGTGTCCTGTTCATTCTTTCCACCTCATGGGCCTACCATGGCAGCTCAGGGATAATTTTTTCTGTAGTCAGTTGGCCACACACACACACACTCCCCCCTCCTCCAGGTCGTCTTCTGTAGTCCATGAGAATGGTTCTTCAGGCAGATGTCCTGTCTGTTCACAGGTATCGTGCTTGTGGCCATCAACCCATATGAGCAGCTTCCAATCTATGGACAAGATGTCATCTATGCCTACAGTGGCCAAAATATGGGTGACATGGACCCCCACATCTTTGCTGTGGCAGAAGAAGCCTACAAGCAGATGGCCAGGTAAGAGGCACCTCAGCTCAGCAGTTCCCCAAGAGAGGTGCACGAAGGGACATGTCTACTTTGCTTGACTGTTTTTACTCAAAGGGTGGAGAGACTGGGACTTGAAACCCCTCTTGCAAACAAAGCTGCCCAGGATTCTGGTCCCTCTGGTCTCTCTCTTGTCTGTGTGTACCTGGAGAACAGGGCTTGCTTAGATTTATTTCATGTTTGAGCAATAATCCCCTGCCTTTATCTCTCCCTGACTGCGTCTTGGCTTTCTTTCCTCCCTTGCTGATGTAATAGAACCATTTCATGGCATCACCATTCATTTGGTGAAGCCCAATCCACATCCTCTCACCGGAGACTCTTGAAGAAGCAAGGACTCCTTGACAGCTTCTTGAGGTAGCAAGTGTTGCGGGTGGAAATGAGAACTGCATGTGAACAGCTGGATTTGGTGCTTTTCAGGTTTTATTTAGCCTAGCCTGAAAGTAGAATTCTGTTTGGGTGCCTGAGCAGTGCTCTCTCTCTCTCTCTCTCTCTCTCGCTCTCGCTCTCGCTCTCGCTCTCCCTCTCCCTCTCCCTCTTCCCCTCCCCCTTCCTTTTCCTCCTCCTCCTTCTCCTCCTCCTCCTCTTCCTCTTCTCCTCCTCCTCCTCCTCTTCTTCTTCTCCTCCTCCTCCTTCTTCCTCTCTCTCTCTCTCTCTCTCTCTCTCTCTTTCTGAATAATAGGTGTGGATCTGTGTCATCATAGAGGGGACTTCCTGGTGCTCTAAAACTATGCAGACTCAAGGAGAAGAAGATATTTTATCAGTGTCTGTAGGAAATGCATTTCCCAGTTAGTTATATGGTTCTGGATTCTTGTGGATTGAATATTTCCTGCCACAATTCGAGTGTCTTCATTGAGGGCCCCATCATCACAATGTCCTTTGGGGAGATGAGCTTTGGAGGAGTAGGTGATTTCGTGGGAGGAGACTCCTACTCCAAGGGGTCTATGCTGTAATGAATTTCACCGTAGAAATGTAGCTCAATTAAATCTTCCTTGAGGGAGGACTTTTATGGGGCTCCTTACTAACTTATAGTGTTTCATCGTTTGTACAGATCAGCACATGAAAATCTCCTTCACTAGAGAGAGCGACTATACTCACTCATTCTAAATGATAGAGAGCCAAAAAGTGTAATAAGTAATGACCTATAATTATGTATTCAAAATGTAGTAACTGTCACCTTTGCCCTATCTAATGTGATAACACACACCAAGCACCAAATTCACCTCCCAGGACTTGATTCAGACACAGCTTACCTGCCTGCTTATTGATACATACCTCCTCGCAGCTGTTTAGGGAAGATGGTGGGGTTGATGTGTGAGCCACCACACAGCCCTGTGTGGGTCACTGTGGAGTTCTTTGTGTGTTGCAGTTGAGAGAGGCCTGAGGACTGTGCTTGAGGACTTGCTTTGTGTGAGGATGATGAAGGTCTGTCCTTTTCTGAAGGATGGTTCTTTATGGCTGTGAACCAGAAGGTTGGGGTTTTACGGTGCTGGACTGTCTTAACAAACAGAGTTCAGACGGCAGGCAGAGCGATAGACAATCTCTCACCTTGTTCTTTCATGGACATCATCGACTGGGCCAGTCACACTTAGGAATTCCAGAAGCTGCTGCATATCTTTTGGTGCTGGACTGTCTTAACAAACAGAGTTCAGACGGCAGGCAGAGCGATAGACAATCTCTCACCTTGTTCTTTCATGGACATCATCGACTGGGCCAGTCACACTTAGGAATTCCAGAAGCTGCTGCATGTCTTCAAAGATTTCATACTGACGTTGTGTTAAAAAACAAAGGCAGATAGTTCCTCTTGGATTAGTCTGACCAGGAGCAAACCCAGACTTTAATCTGTCACTTGCCTCTCCTGTGTTCTCTGTCTGTAGTTTGTTGTTGCTGGACTGTCTGTCAAATGTCTGTTGTATGTGTCTGTTCTGTTTCTATGTACATGCTTGTCCCTAACAAAGGGATTTGCTCTTTCTTTATTGAACAGCACAGAAAATGTGACATGGGAAAGAAATGAGGGACTCTTTACATATGATATGTGACAGAGTCTTACAGGGGAACAGGCCACTTCACTGACCCCAACTGACCCAGACTAGCACCTCAAACCGCTAACAGATTATCATCCTATAACACATGTTGTTTACAACACTTATGGGATATTTGTTTTAAGATTGCTTTCAACATGTTGACTGCTTTCAGCAAATGTGATTACCCTAACATCCCCCATAACACACACACACACATTGTATGAAGTACAAATTTTTTGGTAGACTCCACATGGCAGCTGAGGTAATACTTGTCTCCTCTCCCAGGGACCTCACAATTGGGGGGGGGGGAAACACAGGTAGACCCAAACCTCTTTCCTGTGGAAAGTAGGAATACCTAGAAACTAGAAAAAGAAAAGAAAAGCAAACACTGTCATTTGAATTGAGTTTTGAGCCAAGGTTGCAAACACACCAAGAACATTCGGGTTTCATCTGGTCCGGAAGAATCGCTTTGATGCAGGGAGTGAGAAGGAAGGCAGCTGGGAAGGCAGGTGAACTAGCTTGACGTCCCCTCAGAAGAGGAGCATCAGACACAAGGTGACGAGATCACTGCAAGACTCTTGTTGAAGTGCCGGAATCAGAGTCATGCAGGAGTCAGGCAGGATGTGGAGGAACCGGGGTTATAACACTCTGCTCATGAAGTGTGGTTCACTGTAGCCACTGTGGTGAAAAACTAACGTTCCTATATGGCCTCACAGTCCAATTCTGGAGTATATCCCCAAGATAAATAAAAATATACCCACAAATTTATAAATGTTCCGGCTAAAAACAGTGTAGATGTTTATCGCTCAGTGAAGACTTTCCATATAATGGATGTTACATGGCCATGAAAAGGAACAAAGAACTAATGTACATGCTACTCCATGTATGAGCCTTGAAAACATGGCCACTGAAAGAGCAGAGACTCCCAGAACCATATATTTTAAATTCCATTGAAACAAAATGTCAAGAGTCGGCAAATGAAGAAGATGTAGCTTATCAGTTTTCTTGCATGTGTGCATGTGTCTACATAGTGCACACATGTATGCAAAGACCGGAAGTAGACAGTGGGTGTGTCCCTCAGTTATTCTCCACCTTATTTTTTGAGATGTCTCTTATTGAACCAGAATTACTGATTGTTGGTCTGTCCAATCCCAGGAATCCTCTCCACCTTCCCAGTGCTGGGATCGCCGGCACATGTTGCCATTTGCAAGTTTTTATGTAGCCCCTGGGAATCCAAACTCACATCCTTGTGCTTTACTGACTGAGACATCAGGGTTGCAGTTTGAGGGACAAGAAAAAATCACCAGAAAGTGGTATGTGAGTGGTGTGTATGTCTGTGTGCACACGCGCATGTGTGCATGCATGCGTGTGTATTGAGAAAGTCATTAGGAACAAAGGCACATTCCGAGCACAGTTTGCAGGCAGGTTTTAGCTTCATCGTGGTCCATAGTGTTGGGAGTTACAGAGGTGAGCCCAGGCTGGACCGTGGAGGTCTCTGGTCATTGAAGTAAGCAAGGCATTCAGTTAAAGAGGTGAATAGATGATTGGATGAATGTGGGGATTACTGAGTTAACCAGAAAGTCGAACATCTTCACAGCAGAGCTTCTCAGAGTCTTTCTGGATGCATTCCGAGTCTCCACCAATGGGCTGTGTTTTGCTGGGCTTACAAATCATATTTAGGCACAAAACTGTTTTCAAAGATACTCTCGGGGGATCAATGTTCTGTGTAGCACTGTTTGTGAAACACTGGCCTAGAGCAATTGGGATGTTTTTGTTGATTGGATAAGAACACGATGCGATGTATGTGCTTCTCTCTGGTGGGTCCTGTTTCATAACGATCTTCTCCTTCGTCACTACTGTGCCATTACCAAGGATAAGAATGCTTTCTCATGAGGAGATTCTTTTGTTGTAGAAATAACTTGTTTTGTCGTGAGTTACCTCCCGACCTATGCAGAATGAGCAGACAGCAGAGAATTAAGTGTGAGACTGTGGCTCTGCGTTATTTTTTATGTCACTCACACTTAACCCCAGGGTACGTGATTGTTGCTCAAGCATGGGTAGTAACAATTGACACACTGGTATATTTGTTTCTCACAAGATTCATTACTCCTGTGACATGGGTCAGACAATGCTCCAGGGTCTTTAATCAGATGGGTTGAAGTTGAATCCAAGCGAAGTGGGTTTGCCCACAGCCTGTGTTAGCCAAGAAGAATGCCACCTGCTCAGATGTCCATTGATTCCTCCCATAAGTTTGCTAAACAGAACAGACTTTGATCCTCAAGGCCACAATGAAGGTTTTGAGCTGGATCTTTCCCCTCAGTGGTTCTGAAGTACCATGGGTTCTACAGTGAGTTTAGTTTGGTGCATTGCCCAGCCTCGTTGGTGGGAGTGGCCATCTCTCTGAGCTGGCTGGGTATGAGTCGTTTGAAAAGCTGTTGTGTTTTTTTTGAGTCGCTTTCCTAAAATGAATAGGAGCGCTGCAAAGCAAGTCTGTGTGCTCAGGTAGCCAAGGCCATTGAACACCCACACTCCCCATCTGTCTCTTCAGTGCTGCCAAGGCGTGACTAATAATGAAAGATGGAGTTGCCATTGCCTGGAACTCAGGGGTGGGAAGAGCAGCTGCATGTACCAGTGGCATGATTCCTGACAATGGAGCTCACTCTTGCCCAGCGGGAGCTTCACCATCCTGAAGATGGAGCCCATAAAGGGGAAATCCTGTGCTCACTGAAAACAGTAGTTCAAGGTGCTTCCTTTGTGATGTTAAATCCGGAATGGAAATCATATACGAGGAGAGACTTCACTAGTAGCCATTATTTTGCGTGGAGCACTATAGCTGGTTAGAAAAGAGCTCACAGCCGTGACTACGTGGCATAAGAATGCCAGACAGCATGTCCAGCAAGGACCTCTGAGTGCTGTGTAGCTGTCTCCACCCATCTCTCAGTTCTAGTTCGG